AGAAATTAATTTATCAATTATATATTTTAAGTAATAGAATATTTTGAATTGAACTGTTTTCTTTTAAATGCAATTTTTTTGTTTTGCCTTGGCGAAATCCAGCACGATGTACGGATGTCCCCTTGTTGAGGCACCGTGTCTTGAGAGACTATTGGGCCTCAAACATCCACCTGATCTCAAGTGAAACTCGGATATACGACCCATCACTAAAGATGCAAGTAAAATTATCGGCTCTCTGTACCGCTCCAGTAAGTATCTGTCTGCTTATTCTATCTCTACATTTAATATAGCCAGATCAAGACGAAAATGGGGTGCCGTTGTCATATTTGGACGGGAGCTGCACAGACCCCTCTTTCCAGTCTCGATAGAGTTCAAAACGACTCCGAGTCTATGTTGATAACGAATTATTTCCCACCTACCAACCTCTCTCCCCTACAGGCATGATGTGGCGAGCTTCTCACTGTTCTATCGCCAATTCCATGGAAAGTGCTCGGACGAACTATATTCCTTGGTTCCACTAGACCTAACCTTCATGGCTAGGACCCACCATACCACTGCGTTAAAGCAAACCACCCACATTCCGTCCGTATTCCATCGGTGAGAAGTAAGTTCCACTCGAACAGCTTCTTACCGCAAACCACTGCTCTGTGGAACAGACTCCAAATAAGATGTTTTCCCCGATCACTACAATCTAATCTGTCCAAGCCTATAGCGAACAGTTTTCTTCCCGTCCTATCCGTATAAACTACCCCTTAATGGAACCCTCTACCTGGAGTGACCCCCGAGCCTTGTTCAGGGTGAACCTTACTGTAAAAGAAAATGTCAATTCAAACACGTGTAGTCACTAAAAATAAGCATAATTAATGTTGGGGTTGAAATCCATTTAAAAATTACTTTAGTTCCTTTATTAGTAAAGGTAAACATCCAGTGGTAACCTCTCAAACTTTTACCGACCAGACAAATAACCCTTTGTTATGCCTCTATTTTCGTTCGTATCGATATGCACAAAACTGGGTAAGGGACCAGTGTACGCTTATAAACAATACAAAAAATTATATCAACGCCACGGTAGAAAATGAAAAGGGGAAACGGGTTTCCTCTATATTTATTCGTTTATTCCGGAATTCACGGTTTCTTCAAGTTAAATTTTCATGTGAATATTAACTCTTAAGTTAAAGATTGTATAAAATCCTTGCAAGTTCCATGACTATGCTACTATGGCTGTGGAAATTTCCCTATCGCAGCGTTAAATATTTGAGCTTAACAACTTTAATAAAATATTGCAATAACAATCATAAGTACGAATGAAGGTCATTATTTAAAGAAGGAAGAGGGTACAAATGAAAATATTCAAAACTGACAAATTTGTTCCATTTCACGGAAGCAGACATTATACACATGTGAGCATTTTCGCTTCTATCGTCTCCGAATTTCTTTCTTTTTCTTGCTTTCTTTTTCTTTTATTTTGCTTGCTTTTTCTCACAAACACGCAAACAACATCTCTGATATGTCTTTTTCGTTTTTCATAGCGCTTGAAATTGAATAATCTATTATTTATTAGATGTTGGCAGGGCGTAAAGGTCGTGCTAAGTAAAAAGAAGAATTATAATGTATTAATCATTATTATTATTACTATAATTACTATCTTTATTATTATCATTATTATTACTAATACTAAAACTACTACTACTAATGTATTCCACGGCCTGAAATTGTTTTTTTTTTTGTTTTTGTTCCTGTTTAATATATTCTTCACCATATTTGACTTTTCCCCTTTCAATATCTTATTTTTATCTTCGCTTCATCCACAAACCTTCCCACGCAGCCGTCATGTTTGTTTCTTTCCTTTTTGCGTCTCGTCAATAAGCCTACTACCACACCCTCTATAAAAAGGAAGCAGATTCTCTTTTCTACCCGACATTATTTTTGTTTTCTCCTCCACTCATTCATATTCCGAAATAGCGATGGAGGTGATGGGTGTGGCGGCGTCGGTTATTTCTGTGGATGTTTGCCTTCTATTTGAGCGGTCGACATCTCCGGCGAGTCGTTATGTCAGACTCTTTTAGTGTTCCTGTCACTGAGCTGTCAAACAGGAGCCACCGTCAACACGAAAAGATACATTGGGGCAGGGAGCTGGAAGGACAAAAAAGGAGTGAAGAAAGAACAGATGAAAAGGAAAGGAAAAAAAAAACGGAAGAAGAAAAAAAAAAAGAAGGGATTGAACGAAGTCAAGTCAGTGTAAAAAAAAAAAAAAAAACATGTGAAGTGAGAGAATTGGAACTGAAAAACAAACAGGAAGCCAGAGAGGAAAAGAAGTAAAAGAAATACAATACGTAAAAGAAAGAAAGAAAGAAAGAAAGAAAGAAAGAAAGAAAGAAAGAAAAAGAGAAAGGAAGGAAGGAAGGAAGAAATAATGGAGTCTGTATAAAAAAGAAAAAAAAGGAGTCTCTTCCTAAAAAGAAAGAGCGAAGAAATACAATTTGTAAGGGTAAATAAATAAAGAAAGAATGGCCGAAGGAAAATGCCCATAATTAAATAATAGAATCTGTGTAAAAAGATAAAAAAGAGGGTCTTTATAACTAGAAAGAACGAATAAATAAAATGCGTACGTGTAAAGAAAGAAAGAAAGAAAGAAAGAAAGGCCGATCGAAAGAACGAGGGAAAATGACGATAATGAAATAATAGAGTCTGTAAAAAAAGAAAAAAAAAAGAATGTCTTCAGAAATAGAAAGAAAGAAGAAATAAAGTTTGAAAAAAAGAAAGAAGGAAAATGGCCATAATAAAATATTGGAGTCTGTATAAAAAGAAAAAAGGAGTGTCTTCGTAAAAAGAAAGAACAAAAATACAATTTGTAAGGGTAAATAAGTAAATAAATAAATAAATTAATAAATAAATAAATAAAGAAACAAGGAATGGCCGAAGGAAAGAACGAAGGAAAATGCCCATAATTAAATAACTGAGTCTGGATAAAAATGTAAAAAAGAGGACCTTTATCAATAGAAAGAACGAAGAAATAAAATGTTAAGCGTAAAAAAAGAAAGAAAGAAAGAAAAGAAGGAAAAAAGAAGAAAGAAAGAAAGAATGGTCGACCGAAAGAACAAGGGAAAATGACCATAATGAAATAATGGAGTCTGTAACAAAGATAAAAAAAGAATGTCTTCATAAATTGAAAGAAAGAAGAAATAAAAATTGTAAGGGTAAAGAAAGAAAGAAAGAAAGAAAGAAAGAAAGAAAGAAAGAAAGAAAGAATGGCCGAAGGAAATGCCTATAATGAAATAATGGAGTCTGTAACAAAGATAAAAAAAGAATGTCTTCATAAATAGAAAGAACGAAGAAATAAAATGTGTAAGGGTAAAATAAGAACGAATTAAAAAAAATGAAAGAAAGAAAGAATATCCGAACGAAAAAGTACGAGGGAAAGTGCTTATAATTAAATAATGAAGTCTGCATTAAAATGGAAAAAAAAAAGAATGTCTTCATAAATAGAAAGAAAGAAGAAATGAAATTTGTACGGGTCAAGAAAGAAAGACCGAAGGAAAATGTCCATAATAAAATAATGGAGTCTGTAGAAAAAAGGAAAAAAAAGAAGTGTCTTCATAAATAGAAAGAAAGAAGAAATAAAATGTTTAAGGCTAAAAAAAGAAGGAAAGAAACAATGAATCTACATAAAAAGAAAAAAAAAACAAATATATGCATAAATAGAATGAAGAGCTAAAATGTATAATGGTAAAGAAAGAAAAAGAGAAAGTTTGCACAGGTAAAACAAAAGACATTACGTGATATGCCTTTTCTGGATATCACAATTAAAGCTATCTCCCTTTTAGTAACTCAACAAATTTTTGTTACCTCTACTGTGGCTAGATATCGAACTCACACATCCTAGGGTCAAATCACTGGATTACTTCAACTAACGCTTTTATCACCAGGGCCATATGAAACTAGAGTAATCTAGCGCAATGCACGAAATAAAGGGTTCGGTGCGAAATTCCAACGTATATCACCTGAAGAAGATCGGAGCGCACAACGCTCGAAACATCGTGAAGATGGAAATAAACTTGAGGCCAATAATCCGAACAATGTAAATAGTGTAAATAGTAAGAATACCTCATCTCAAAAATATAGACAGATCCTGAAGAAGGCCCGAGCATAGAACAGGCGAAACGTCGTGAATATAACAATAAAGATGGGACCAATAATCCGAACAATGTAAATAGTGCAAATAGTTACAATACCTCATCTCAGAAATATAGACAGATCCTGAAGAAGGCCGTAGCGTACAACGACCGAAACGTCGTGAATATGAAATAAAGATGAAAGCAACATTCCATACAATGTAAATAGTTGCAATACTTCATCTCAAAAATATAACCAGATCCATGAAGAAGGCCGGAGCGTACAACAGGCGAAACGTCGTGAATGTGAAATATAGATGAGGACAACAGTCCGAACTATGTAAATAGTTACAATACCTCATCTCAGAAATATAGACTGATCCTGAAGAAGTCCGGAGCGTACAACAGGCGAAACGTAGTGAATATGACAATAAAAATGAGATAAATAATCCGAACAATGTAAATAGTTACAATACCTCATCTTAAAAATATAGACACATATTGAAATTGCAAAGAGGAATGGTCAAACGTTATGCATGGCAAGAAACGGCCGGAAGTTGTAAGGGACCATGATCTATGTCCCGAAAGCCATGGCCTATAAAAGAATGGTTATTGAAAAATCATTAGCAAACTGTACTTGTAGTATATGCACCTTTTTTCTATGTGTCATGTAAAAAAATCCGCTGTGCTTGTAAAGTATTCTGGGACATAGTTCTTGTACCAGTTCTTTTTACAGACGAATTCGCTAATATAGTTATTCTGATCATTATTTACATTATTCGGACTATTGTCCCCATTTTTATCGCCATATTTATTACAACGTTTCGGCCGTTGTACGATCCGGCCTTCTTCAGGTGGTTGAAATGTCGAACTGAACCCTTTATTTCGCTCACTGGGGTAGACTGTTCTAGTTCCACATACCATGTTTAATGGATGTCAGTTATCAGTTATCTCCTGTTAATTCCCCTCTCCAAGTTCTTCACTGCCTTAACCGGGTATTGAACTCCAGTGACAGGACACAAAGAGTGGACATAATACCTTATCTCAGAAATATAGACAGAAATTTGAAGGACTGAAACGTTGTAATAAATATGGCGACAAAGATGAGGACAATAGTCCGTATAATTTAAATAGGGTACATAATACCTCATCTCAAAAATATAGACAGATACTGAAGGGCCGAAACATTGTAATAAGTATGGCGACAAAGATGAGGACAATAGTCCGAATAATGTAAATAGTGGACATAATACCGCATTTCAGAAATATAGACAGATACTGAAGGGCCGAAACGTTGTAATAAGTATGGCGACAACGATGAGGACAATAGTCCGTATAATTTAAATAGTGTACATAATACCTCATCTCAGAAATATAGACAGATACTGAAGGGCCGAAACGTTGTAATAAGTATGGCGATAAAGATGAGGACAATAGTCCGAATAATGTAAATAGTGGACATAATATCTCATCTTAGAAATATAGACAGATACTGAAGGGCCGAAACCTTGTGATAAATAAGGTGACAAAGATGAGGCCAATAGTCCAAATAATGTAAATAGTGTACATAATATCTCATCTCAGAAATATAGACAGATACTGAAGGGCCGAAAATAATAAATAAGGTGACAAAGATGAGGACAATAGTCCAAATAATGTAAATAGTGGACATAATATCTCATCTTAGAAATATAGACAGATACTGAAGGGCCGAAACCTTGTGATAAATAAGGTGACAAAGATGAGGCCAATAGTCCAAATAATGTAAATAGTGGACATAATATCTCATCTTAGAAATATAGACAGATATGAAGAAACCTTGTGATAAATAAGGTGACAAAGATGAGGCCAATAGTCCAAATAATGTAAATAGTGTACATAATACCTCATCTCAGAAATATAGACAGATACTGAAGGGCCGAAACGTTGTAATAAATATGGCGACAAAGATGAAGACGATAGTTCGAATAATGTAAATAGTGTACATAATACCTCATCTCAGAAATATAGACAGATATTCCGATCATTTTAGATACTTCAAGTGAACTATGGAAGTCCGGAGATGAATACACCATTTACGTATGAAAGACTTCGTTTTGTCTTCTGATTTGTTTGATTACATATGACTTCCGTCTGAATTTCTTGGATAAGGGGTTATTATGAACATCCTAACTTTTGTCCTCATCTTTGTTGTTTGTCATCACAAAGTTTTGACAGTTGAAACCTCCAGCCTTCTTCATTGTATGTCGATCCGTGTAACCTACAGAGAACTGAATCATTTATGTAATCTGCGGGTGACTGGTCTCTTCCCAATGCTTATGTCTTGGAATTTCTCTTCTAGTTCTTATTTTTAATACTACTCAGTCATTGTTCGCTCTGTTTCCACTAAGTCCACTTCCAAGTACACACTGCCCGGCCCAGGGATTGAACTCACAATTACAATGTCACCAATTCCACCAATCACCGCTTTAATCCACTAGGCTGTTGTATCGTAGGACAATTCTCTGTGACGGGTGGTTCTGCTGCTAATATTTTCCATGCTTGAATGTCCTCACTGAATCGTGTCTCTTTTTTTACTCCTACTGCTGGTAATATTGAAAACTTGCTGCCATCTATCTTCCTTTATTAGCGGCTCCCATATAGTATTCATTTCTGTGCTAGGCCTACTAATGTGATTCTTATAGTCTAACACATGCGCTGATACTTTCAGGCGTCTAATTTTACTTGCGTTCATATTCCGTAGATAATATCTGTTTGATTTCTAGCCCGAAGAGCTAAGTAATATTCCAGATTTTATTCGAACAATTGAACCCTTACTTTGTGTCCTTAGATTTGTTGATACAAAGCTTCGGCTGATTCATTGGTGTTTAGTTTGGAATTGGCCGGGTACTCGTGTGACGTCATAATCACGTCTGTGCGCCAAGAAATTTTGGATACGATATTAAACGGGAAACGACGGGAAAACCTTACAAGAACGTGCACGGCAAACGGATAAAAATACGAGAAAATTCACTTTTAAAGGGTACTTTTTATTCTTTTGTTTTTGTCATATAAAGGACAGGCAACAGTTATTTAAACAAACGTTATTTTAAATTTGTTTAATTATCATAATAAAATAGAAGGGAAATGAAAGGAATGTTCAGTTCCTTTATTTAATATTTGTTATTGAATATTACTCAGTGTACTTCTTTCTCTACCCTTCTACTATAAAAATGGGCTGCTCCATCTTACAAAATGGCAAGTATCTACATTTGAGTAGGTTTTAAGGAGTATTTGATTTACTTAATTTTTTTTCCGTTCAATGTAAGAGTATTTAATAAAACCTCTTTGTTTTCCCTACCTAGTCTTCTGTTCCTCCGATACACTCTCTAAATAGGGCCTTCCCAATTTTCGGTTATGTTTAACAAATATAGCATTAAAACAATATTTTTAACGGCAAGATACACTTTGGAGCATTCCATGCACAATAGAGTTGTGCATTTTTTGCATAATGCATGTTAGCATTTTACACTTTTATCTTCGAGAAGTATGCGTGCAGACATAATGCTGGCTTTTGGCTTGATCTTTTACCTTCATTTGCAGACAAATACTTCAAGAAATGATGCGTCCTCATGAATCCTGAAGTTGCTAATTAGTAATTTCAATACAAATGAAAAGAAGTTAAGATCATCAATTAACGATATTCACCGATCTCCAACGAGGCATTAATTAATGATACCCACCATATCTTAGTTTAATTGCCACATATTTCTTCTTTCGCTATCTTCTTTAGCAAAAGCATTTTTCCTATTTTCTTATAGCATTCGCATCCGATGTAATGACAAATCAATAACCCCAAATAAACATGAACAAAAGTAAAAGAATTTAACACGTTTAACAGCCAGCAGATTTAAAGTGCTCAATCAGAAAACTAGTGTAGCAAACGATTGCAGATGAAGAAAATTTGAAATACATACCGTTCGTCATTTATCTGATTCTGGAGACTGGTCTATATGCGAAACTTAAAAGTCCGTATCAAAGATAAGCTCATTTTATCTTTTCTTTATCTGCTTATCGATAAATAAGTTCATATGCAGACATCACAGAGGGACAATCCCATCACGTTAGTTGATGTTTCTGCAGCAATTGAAATTTATGCGATTGAAGCTCCAAGTCAAACCGGTTTTAAATTTAAAGTTGTCTTTCTACTAGACTGGTTGCCAACCAAACTTATATATATATATCAATCTGGTCGGTAATTATCTCTTAGCTAGGAAAAGAAGAAAATGCGTGAAAGCCTTGGTATTTGTCCAGAAGTAAACGCAATGACCTCAACTCGATTTTTAACTTGAAACATTAGAAACGTTTATGTCATCTCTTTACGATAACATTGGTGTATACGGAATAAATAATATATGTAACAGCGTTTCCTCTTGCAAGGGGGAGTTAATCGATTTGAACCTTTTAAAACCCTTTTTTCTACATTCAGCATCATCACTTGATAAGACACCAGAGGTGTTGAAACAGAATGACCATTTTTGTAGTGATTTTTAAAACATATTTATGTTAAAATTTTCGAATAAATAATATATATATATATATATATATATATATATATATATATATATATATATATATATAATTATTTATTCGAAAATAATTAATTTGAAGCAGGGCTCAATAAAAGAGTAGAGCAATAAATATTCATTATAAATTGTTACATCAGAACATGTAAGTAATTACTTCAATATTGTACATTGTGTTTCGAACTTTAAATAAAAATTCTCTTCAGGTAATTAACAATGATGGCAATAAACGATCTTAAAAATTGCAATTTATGAAACATCACTTCAGTTTCCATTTTTGGAAAATTTCTTTGGATGGAAAATTATTAAAAAATGGAAAATGAAATGATATTTCATAAATTGCAATTTTAAATCAGTTTAAATTTTATTCTTCGTTCGTTTACATTTCGATATATATTTAAGTAAATGCCCTGTTTATAATAAACAGTATAAAATAAACAGGACATCTTAATATTTGTATCTATAAAAATGATGTATATACAAAAAAATATATTAAATAATCATGGGAAGTTTGTAGTTTAAAAACAGTAATTTAACCTTGCTAATCAGATGCTTCCTCTCTAGCTAAATGGTGTAGCATGTTAGACTATATGGCAGTTCCGTGTAGAATACTGGTTTGATTGCTGTCGGAGGACTAATATTTCTTTTTATGTTGTTAATAATGTTTATTATAAACAGGACATTTATTTAAATATTTGTATCTGTAAAAATAACGTATATACATATATATATATATATATACTAATAGTATTACTCGTTTGGAAAATCCTCAGATAGCTCAACTTGTAGATATGTGAAAACCCGAGGAAAAAATTGCAAATAAAAAAGAAATAACTAAATACATTCGAACAGGGCGAAATATATCGTCCAGTGTCTTTAGTCCAAAGAAAAAATAACCCAAGCGAGTAGTAAGACTAAATTTAGAGTGCTGAATACGCTAAGTAGAGTTTACTCTGAAGATCCGTTTAGATGAAACCTAGGTAGGTTTTTTTGTAGTTATATAGGG